AGAGGGGGGAAAAAAGGAAGAGGGGGGAAAAGGGAAAAGGTTCATTTTCTGGGTATAGAGCATCACCATTGTCAAGGTACACTGTGCAGAGACAGGCAGGGGCATTTTGACACCCACTAAGGCACTCAGACAGGTCTCTCTGGATTTAACCCCTCCTGCAGCCCATCCCCTGCAAGAGGGAGCCCCAGGGAGGACCTGCTGGGAGCTGTGGGACCCACTGGGATGCTGGATTATCCCAGTGCTCATCTAGCAGCTCATCCCTGCCCTGTGAAGAGGAGGGCTCAGTGCTCACAACCACCATCAAACCCTGGTGCTGCCACCGGCACAGAGCTGGGATAGTCAGTCAGGGTGGGTCAGGGTAGTGGGCACGCTAGTGGGCAAGTCCTGGTGACAAGAGAGACTTGAAGTGACACAGGGACTAGGACAGCTGAAGCAGCCAAATCGTTTGGAGGTTGGCTCTGGGTGTGGGCTGCCTGTGGGTCTGCCGAAGCTGGGAGCTGCCAGGGAGGATGAATCCAACCCCAAAACTCCCAGTGCTGGAGATACAAAGGAGTCTTCAACCAGGGCCAGCTGCAATGGGTCATGATGGCCATTCAGCTGGCCACCCCAGGGTCTCACCGGTCCCCAGTCAGAGACGGTCCATTGCCTGTCGCAGGGTGGTCCTGTGCAGTTCTTCTCAGCCAGGGGCCGGGCGCTGGCATCACACAGCTTCTCATCCTCCGAGCAGCGGATGTCCCTTGTCACCACACTCCGCTCTCCACACCGGGCTGAGCACTGCAGGAGGGGACAGGGGGACAGCATCAGCAGGAGCTCCCACTACAATGGGATTGTTCTTTTCGGGTGGATTTTCTTTGGGGTGGTGGGGTTTGTTTTGGTTGGTTGGTTGTTTTTTGTGGTGGTTTTGTTTGTTTGGTTTTGGGTTTTTGTTATTTTGTGGGGGTTTTTTGTTTGGGTTTTTTACATTTTTAAGGTGAAACTCTAAAAACACATACTAACAACGCACAGGTGACTGTAAAACAATCCCTAGCAAAGCCACTCCTCTTCCTCAAAACCCCTCAGCAGCTTCAGCAGTCAGGTTACGGTGCAGGAGGGCTGCATCCTGCCTGGGTGCTGTGCAAGCTCTCTGATGCCAGAGGGTGAAAAATCAAAACACCAAAAAAAAAGGCTGATCACAGCTAAAAAGTTTTAGCTGTCACTTAGAGATGGGGTGAGATCTCCCTCACCTCCTTCCTAGGAACAGCCAGCTCCTTTCCACCTCAGATTTTTATGCTGTGGATAAATTTGGCACGGCACAGCCCAGTGACATTATTTAGAACTGGATTTGAGTTACTACAGTCTCACATACACACATTTGCTCCGTGCATAACGTAAAGCAGGGAAAAGTGTCAACAGCCCAGTGCTCAGACACACCACACTGCTATGTTAATCCTCAGATTCTGAAATGTGCTTTTTTTTTTTTTTAATGCCTATTTCCCCAGCCAATTTGGCACCCTACTGCAGATGGGATCCAAACGAGATTAGTTTTGCTGCTGGCTAAGAACAAACTACTCCAGGACTGTCTCAAGCAATCTGTCCCTGACACATGCTGGAGGAGAATACGGATTTCTGTAAAATAAGCCACTCTGGTTTGCTATGCCAGTCAAAATAACGCGCCAGCACGTGCACAGGGAGCTCCTGTCTACCCAGCTGGGAAAGTCAAAACATCCTGCAACACCAGGGAATGCACCAGCCCGTCCATCAGCTCGAGGGAAACGATTCACCTCAGCTTGGAGAGGACAGGAGGCATTTAAATTATGAACAAGAAGTGTTTTGGGAGCCTCCAAGGAGGAAGAATCTGATCCCTTGTGGTGTAAATTGTGGGGCAGGCTTGCACCGGCAGACAGCTTGGCTCAGAGTTCAGTGTGCTCCTGCTTAGGAGGGATCTGGGCTTGATTTGGGAGCAGG